TCAAATGATACATTCTTAGAAGTTAATTTACATAAGGGTTTACTAATCTTAGAAAAATTGTTCACGAAACGCCTATACCACCCAGCCATGCCCAGGAATCTTTTCACCTCCTTAGCATTGGAAGGTGTAGGATAGTTGAGAATGACTTCAACTTTACCTGGGTCTGTCCGCAGGCCATGCTTGTCAACATAGTACCCGAGGTATTTCAGTTCGCTACGACAGAAATGTGATTTTTGCATGTTGATCGTGAGGCCCGCATCCTTAAGGCGCTGATAGACTCTATGTAAGAGGTCCACATGCTCCTCAAAGGTGCTGGCCACAACGATTATGTCGTCCTGAAATGCAAATACCCTATTGTCGAACTCGGGACCAAACAGGCGGTCCATGAGGCGTTGCATCGAAGCTGAAGCTCCGATGAGACCGAAACACATAACGTTGTACTGAAAGAGACCCCTTCTTGGGACGGTGAAGGCGGTCTTCTCGGCGGATTGAGGCGAGTCAAAAGGAATCTGCCAATACGCCGCACTTAAATCAATGGAAGTCAAATATTTTGCATTAACTGTTACAGTATAGCGTGAATAACTTTGCAGTCAAGATTTGTCAGCATAACGGGGAAGTGAGCGGGAATACTCTGCGCATTTAAATGAATGACATTAAAATTCTTGGCAACATCGGTGAATTGTCGTTGAAGCTTGTCAGCCAGCGAAATACTAACGAAACTGTCATCGTCATCACTACTGAGTGAATAAAACTCATCACTATCACTACCCGAGTCCATAAGATATGTTACGATAAATACTGTGGTTATATAAATTGATAACAATAAAAATACGATGCAGAAATCGCTGTAGGCAAATATATGTTTTACCCTATTTTACCCAGTACAAATTTCAAAAGCAATCGCAGCGGACTCTCCACCTGCCAGTCACGTGGTGTTCACAGATTGTGCAGTCAGTAGTCATAAACAACTTTGAATTAAATAAATAATAATATGGAATCATCATTTCCTTTTCATCTTAGGAAGTATTATACAATAAAGAAAAAATAAGTAAAAAGTAAAAAAAAAATGAAAAATACAATACACAATGACAAAAACATGCCAGTAAAAGTTGCAGGATGTAAAAATTGCCTTAATCGATAAACGTAATTGGTTAATTTAGAAATAGTCACGTAAAAGTATGGTTAAAAATAATAATATTATATAATACTAACAGTACCTAATAAAAAAAAGGAGGCTGAGAATATTGTTTAAGTACACACAGTGCAATGACAGTTTTAATTTAATTATAATATCTGTGACGAGAATGTCAGTTCAGACATAAGTCTTTTGAAATTAAAAGTCGATGATGAAATCTAACGAGAATTTCAGCTGTTTTTTATTTTGACATTTGACTGTTGTCATTGTCATGTCGGTACATTAATTATAATATTAATGGTGTTTTTTTTGTGTTGTGTTGTGTGTTGATGTGTTTAAGGTTGAATATAGCTTGCAGGATTTGTAGTAAATGAAACGACGACTTCTCTCCACAGAACTTGTATTGCGACTAACTTTTAAATGCAAGGGTAGTACTATTTATAACATACCGCCCACCAAAAAGGGCTAGACCTTTTTACAACAAAGAAATTTAACTATAATTATGTAGGTATAAAAACTATTTCTAAATGGCAATACATTTCAACACAATATCAAGACCCTTGCAGATGAATATTCTTTGCATCAATCGGCATAGCACATAATTTAGCTACAGATCTTTTCTTAATAGTTTCGCCACTCTTGACACTGTAAACTCTTGTTAGATTGTCTGCTCCCGGGTGCTTGTCGACAATTCGGCCAAGGGACCACTTGCCAGGTGGTAATCCATCTGTCTTGATTAAGACGATGTCACCTATCTCGAAATCTTTAGTTTTTATCAGCCACTTCGGTCTCTGCTGCAATCTGGTCAGGTACTCATTCTGCCATCTACGCCAAAAGTCACCCAATAGCTTCTGAGTGTACTGCCAACGAGTGAGGTTGTGAATTTTTATGTTTTCTAAGCTTGGACTTGGAATGACAATAGGAGCTTCACCCATAACAAAATGTCCTGGAGTTAGGGGTCGAATGTTATCGATATCATCGTCGATGGCACAGAGTGGTCGAGAGTTTAGGACGGCCTCAATTTGACACAATACTGTAGTCATCTCTTCGAATGTTAAATTAGTAGTTAAAATGCGCTTCATATGGTACTTGATTAATTTGACGCCGGTTTCCCACAGTCCTCTAAAATTTGGGCTGTAAGCTAGTATAAAGTGACATTGGGTACCTTCTAATGCAAGGGACTCCGCCAGTCTGTTGAATTGGAGATTAGCTTTTTGCCAGGCATTAGTTAATTCTTTGTTCGCTCCTACGAAATTCCGACTTTGATCACTCCAAAGGTGAGAACATTTTCCTCGCCTAGAAACAAATCGCTTGAGAGCACCAATAAAGTCATCAGAGGTCAGGTCGCCTACTAGTTCGAGATGGACTGCTTTGGTAGATAAGCAGACGAATATAGCGATATACGCTTTTGTAACCTTCGCACCTCTTCCTTTATATGCGAGTACATTAATAGGTCCGGCAAAGTCTACACCACTATGTAGGAACGGTCGAGACGGCGTAACTCTTTCTTTAGGTAAGTCCCCCATCAATTGGGTTCTGGGTGTGGCGTTATATCTCGCACAAATTAAACATTTGTAAATATGTGCTTTTACTAATCCCTTTGCTTTTATAATCCAAAACTTATTTTGCAGATATGCTAGCATTAGCTGAACTCCGCCGTGTAGCGTCTTCTTATGGGCGTCGGCAACTATTAACAAGGTAAGTATACTTTTATCTCCCAGTTTGACAGGATGCTTGGAGTGTTCCTGTAAATCTGCGTGTCGGAGACGCCCACCCACTCGGAGGATACCATCTTCATCTAGGTAAGGATTTAGTTTTTTCAACTTACTTCTTTTATTTACTACTTTCTTCATTTTTAGGTTGTCTATGTCTTCTTTAAATTGCTCTTTCTGTATACTTTTTATGCCCAGTTTCAAAAGCTTTCGTTTTGCAATAGGTTAAAAAACGTCTACAGTAGCTAATAGTTTTCATCAGTTCAGTTAAGGAGTCAAAATTTTCAAATTTAATAGTCGTACTGTCATCTTTGTTTTCTTTTGCTGTTATGTGTTAATTAGTTTGAATTTGACTTTCCTTTTGCTCAAGAGTAGTTGATAGCATATCAGGCTTACTAATATGAATTTCTTTTTCAGATAGCCATTTGGGCCCCTTCCACCATAGATCGAACTCCTTTAATTCTTTTAGTAGTATACCTCTGGAGGCGATATCTGCTGGATTGTGCTCGGATTGAACATGGAACCAATGATCTGAAGGAATGACATCCGTTATCTCCACTACCCTATTGGCCACAAATGTTTTCCATTTATGTGGTTGTCCAGAAAGCCATGCAAGTACAATTAAAGAATCGGTCCAAGCGAACATATTTGTAGTATGTTGTCTTAGGCTCTCCCCAACTTGTCTCATTAATTTCGATAGCAAGAGTGCTCCACACAACTCCAAGCGAGGTAAAGAGATGGTTTTAACAGGAGCTACTCTGGTTCTCGAAGCAATTAATTTAGTGTTAATAGAGCCATCTGGCTTTTTTACCCTGATGTAAACCGCTGCAGCATAAGCTTTCATCAAGGCATCGCTGAATCCGTGTACTTATATTTTACTTTTCTTATCCGTCTCCAACCAACGATCAATTCTTAGATCCTTAATGCTCTCGAAATCAGTTCGTAATGTTAACCATTCTTGTTTAGTAGAAGAATCTACATCTTCATCCCAATTCCTCTTGGCTAACCAGAGTTTTTGTATCAACATCTTTGTTAAAATAATGCTGGGTGCTATCCATCCAAGTGGATCGAATATTTTCTGAATATCTGATAATATGGTTCTTTTGGTTATATTTGACTTCACCGGCGGAAAGTTCTGGGTATATAGAAATTCATCATTTTTTAAGTTCCACGCTATACCCAATGCTTTCATTGTGCCATCCAAGTTTAAATTTAATTGGGCAAGACTTGATCTTTGTTCGGGTTTTATAGCTTTCATGAATTCGACACTGTTTGAAGCAAACTTCGTTAATTTGAAACATCCTCTCTCCAATATATCAGTTATGTTTCTTGCTAGGTTAATGGCGTTTTTGACATCATCTTCACCAGAGATGAGATCGTCCATGTAAAAATCTTCTTTGATTGCTTGTGACGCAGGTAAGTATGTCTTGTTTATCTTTCTTTCCACATAAAGTGTATTTTTTGTTGAAGGTGTTAGTTTTTCGTCGTCAGCTAATTGATGCAATGTTTTTACAGCGAGATACGGAGCTGACGCTGTGCCAAATGTTACTCGAAGTAAACGGAATTCTTGAACTTTTTTCGTAGGATCAGTACGCCAAAGTATCCGCTGATAGTCAGTATCAGGCTTTCTTATAATAATTTGTCGATACATCTTTTGTATATCTGCCATAAAACCTATTCTTTTCGTTCTCCATCTTATTAATAAGTTTCGTAAATCTTCTTGTAGCTGAGGACCTACGAGGAGTTCATCATTTAGCGATACATTTACAGGTGTACTTAAATCTTTGCAGGATGCGTCAAACACTACGCGAGTTTGTGTAGTTTCCTTTTCTGGATGAATAATAGCATGATGAGGTAAGTACACGGATCTATTGTGGATTTCATCTTTTGGGACTTCCTCCATATGTTTCAATTGTAGATATTCCTCTATAACTTTCGTATATTCATCTTTGAGTTTAGGCATTCGTTTAAATTTTCTCTCTAGTTGTAACAATCTGTTCATTGCAATTTCCTTTGTGTTTCCATCCGGTGATTTAGGGTTGTCTGTCTTGAAAGGTAGTTTAACTATGTATCGCCCTTCTTCAGTTCTAGAGTGGGTTTGTTCATATATATCTTCGCATAGTTTTTCTTCTTTTGTTAATTTTCTTTTTGAATCATGATCTATTTCCCATATTGATTTCAACAAGTCTTCGACATCTACTTGTAAAGTGCATGACATGAAATGAATATGATTCCGGGTTCGTATTAATTTCTCCAAATATTATCCAACCGAGGCTTGTTTGGTGAGCACAAGGTGTACCAGGTGGACCTTTGATTATACCTTGTTGAATTATACTTGTGTATTGATTTACTCCTAGAAGCATGTCTATTGAACCTGGTGTATGATAGCTTGGGTCGGCCAGGTTGAGCGCTTCCAGGTGTTGCCAGTTGTTGGTTGTGATTACTTGAGTTGGTATCTTCGCAGTCAGTTGTTTGGAGATCACGTATGGTTCTATAGAAAGGCTAAATTTGTTATCCCATCGTGAACCTATTTCAAGCTGCACTACGTGCTTGACATCTGTTCTAGTAGATCCAACTCCCACAATTGTTCCCTTCACAGGATGTTTCTTGAGCTTGAGCAATTGAGTCGCGCGTTCACTGATAAAGGCAGCTTGTGAACCTTGATCGATGAGAGCTCTGAGAAGAACGATATGACCTTCCTCGTTTCGTGCTGTAACTACAGCTGTTGCTAATAGAGCTATGCTTTGCTTAGTGGCTAAATGTGACGATGCAATAATTGTAGTAACCTGTACATTTTGTGTTTCTTCAATGCAGGTGTTTACTGGCGTCGGTGTTACTTGTTTTTTGTTTATCTGAGCAGAATCGGTGTGTAATAGCGAGTGATGACGTCGATGACACAAGCGACAGGATACGGGAACACGGCATTTCAAAACTGAGTGTCCGGGTGCCAGGCAATTGAAGCACAAGTTATTGGACTTCACAAAGTTTCGTCGATCTTCTAAGTCCATTGTAGAAAAAAGCTTGCAATGACACAATGTATGATCACGGTACAATTATAATACAGTACTCCAACTTCATACAAACGGACGAAACGCGAGCTATACCTACGCGCCCCGATCTCGGGGTGCGCTCGGGGCGCAGTCACGGCTGTACCGCAGTGCGAACGGACGGTGTGTTGTTTTTTTAACAATAACCGTGCGATTTTTTTTCTAAAAATCAGTTAATATGACGAGTAGGAAATATTGTGCTGTTTTTGGTTGTATGAATTATTCAATAACGCATCCAGACGTTTTTTTAAATTACCTGGAAACTCTGAAAGGTAAGACTATAAAATAATTTTACTTACTAGTAGGTAGGTACATAATGTGTGTCTTTTTAATGGATTAGTATTTCCTTTTATCTCACGAAAAAAAAGGTGTTTGGATTAACAAATAAAGCGAATAGAGTAACGGAAAGTTATTGAGACGAGTGAAATAGGTAGTTATATGCGGTTCTGAATGAATCATGATGCAATAGGTACCTACCTACTTACGCTTGTGTTAAAACTTCGGTGCCAGTGTGTTTTGTTACTTTGCATAATTCAAAGTAAAGACATGGTATTTTATTATTAATAATATTTGTTTATTATCTGTGTGTATGAATAATATTAGAATATTTTTTTTACCGTCTGTGGGTCATTAGATAGTTTTCGAAATTTTCACAAAGTGTTTCTGCTGCTACCATAACAACATATACCACTAAAAACTGGTTTTATTTTCTCGGTATTAAGAACAACAGCTAGACTCATATATAATATTTAGATGTTTGAGGGTTGTGATTTTATAACATTCGTAGTCAGCTGTTCAGCTTTTTAATAATTAATTAATTGGTGACCAAAGAATTTTTGTTTTGAGTTATTGCGAGTTGTAGGTAGTTACCTAATTTTTAGAGACGTTAATAAGCTGAGATAAAAAGTTACTTACTCGTCAACTGTTTCTTGCATTCTAGTTGAGTAGGTAGGTGTTGGAGTTTCTGAGGATTGGAGTTTTGTAAAGCGTAAGGAGAAAGCACATTTTTTTTATTCTATAGAAGGATTTTTAAGCTATTGCATAGCTTTTATCGCGGGCTGACCGAATCAAGAAATTCTCAAAACCTAACGAAAAATGCCTGACACCACGCAGAAATTTTTCTTTTAAAAAATAAAAAAGAGTGCCACATGTTTTTTTTTTTTTCAGACGTCTTCAATGGTTGCAACTGATCCGGCGAGATGATTTGGAAAACAAACCTAACTTTAGTTCCTACTAAGTTTGTGAAAAACATTTTAATTTGGAGGATGTATTACATTCATATAATATTCATATAATCAAATAATATAATCAAATAGAAAACTTTTAAAAAAGAATGCCCTACCATTGTTGATGCTGCCAAGCTTAGCTAGTACTGATCCAGGAGTCTCTCTAAAAGAAGATAAACAAACCCAAACTGCTCCGTTGGTAGGAAATGAAAATAGTACACAGACTGAAAATGCAACAAATGAAATCTTTGCTCAAACCTCAACGAGTCTCTCTAGCAACACTCCAAGAAAAAGAAAATTGAAACTTGAACTCCTCCAATGCAGAAAGAAAATAAAATAATTAAATCTACCAATCAAAAAACAACACGCATTTTTATTGAACACTTCCTATTCAATATACAAAGTATTTCATTTATTGATATAAAAAGGATATTTACAATCACAAAGCTAAATAGAAACAGAAAGTAGGCAAATATAATTAAAATGCTGGAGACGGACAGCCCTAACGCATGTTTACGTACCGCGCGGCTGTAGGCATTTATTTCTATCATGCGCCCGAGTTACGCTACTGTATTATAAGTGTACCGTGGTATGATTATCATCGCATTTGATGCATGACCGGGTTGGAGATGGTGGCGCTGAAGATGTTGCAATATGGAATGTTCGTTCTTTATTCGTCTTTTCACGTGTGATGCCGGAGTACGAGACTAACTCCAGTGTTCGATATTTAGCTTCTAAAAACTCCTTAAGTTCTAACCATGTAGGTAATTTCTCTGCATCAGCCTTGTAAGCACTCTCCTCCCATTCTCTGTGCGAGTCTGTATCTAACTTCTGTACGACCAAAAAGATAATTATCGGGTCCCATGAATCGGTGTCAATTTTCAAGTTTTTCAAATTATGTAAACAATCTGTGGTGCAATCCAATAAATTTTTTAATTGATTTGAAGACTGGTTGATTAGTTTCTTTTGATCAAATAATTTTCTTAACACTGAATTTATAATTAAACGTTTATTCCCATATCTATTCCTTAATAATTCCCATGCTTGTTTATAATTTGTATGTGTTACCTTTACATGTTTCAATAATGTCTCGGCTGCTCCCGTAACACTACTTTTTAGATAATGTAACTTCTGTGCATCGCTAATATTTAAATTATCATGAACAAGGGAAATATACAAATCTTCAAACGTTTGCCACTCATCATAATGTCCACTAAAAGTAGGTAGGTGAATCTTCGGCAATTGTACACAATTATTTGTATAATTCTCAATTTGTTCTATACGATTTGTAGACGTAAGCACGTCACGTAGATCGGCTTGTAATCCTATGTAAAACTCTTCGTGTAAATAACAACATCAGAATAACACCCTAAGAGTATATTTATTATCATATATATTATAATATATTACTCGTATATATTTTTTGTCATTTATTATAGGCAGGCAGGCATAACACTTTTAGCCTATTTTACATTCCTGGCTCTAATACAAACCTGGGTCATTACGCTGCTGTGCCAAGACTTTGTAGGCAATATAACACGTTAGCCAAAACGACTGAATTAGATATACGCCTATGTTTGTCTAAATATAAGAAATGCTTAACAGCTTTAATGTAATGTAAGCCTCAACGTTTTTTTTTATTATTATTTTTTGTTTTATTTCGTACTTTTTAAATTTTATCAAAACAATTTTTTAATTATATTTTTTTTGTTACTTTTAAGAATTTAAAAACGCTAGTGGTTAAAGGTAACGCCACATTTAGTGAATGGGCTACCCCTGGCTTACTCAAAAGTAGGAAAAGATTATACGAGCTATACGATGAGAGGAATTATAATAAAAGTGAACAGTTTCATAATTATGTTAAAGAATATTCGAAGCTGTTTAGGAAACTTTGTAAACTGGCTAAGTCTCGTTTTATTAGTTCAAAGATTAAAAGTAGTAATGATAAGATTAAAACCACTTGGAAAATTATTAATAGTGAAACTGGCAAAGATCCAAACCGTAATAATGAATTTAATTTAAATATAAACAATAAATTTATCACATCAAATGCTGAGGTTGCTGCTGCATTTGAGAATTTTTTTACTAACATTCCTGTATCAACTACTAAATCTTTGAACTCCTCACCATACCTTGCAGAATCAATTTTAAAAGAGAATGTTAGAAGAATTGATAGTGAATTTAAGTTCCAATATGTGTCCCCCTTTGAAATTATTAAAGCCTTTAACACTATTAATGTTAAAAAAACAACCGACCTATGGGGAAATTCTGTTTTAATTACTAAGACAATTATATCTCTTGTGGCTAATCAATTGTCATTTACATTTAATCAATGTGTTGATAGTGGTGTATTTCCTGATCTTATGAAGTCTAGTAAAATTATTCCCTTATTCAAATCTGGTAGTACATCTGACCCAACTAACTATAGACCTATCTCAGTACTACCAGTATTTAGTAAAATTTTTGAAAAAATTATGTATGATCAATTGCACAGTTTTTTTAATAATAATAATTTATTGCACAATAGACAATTTGGTTTTACAAGGGGTCGCTCCACAACTGATGCTAGTGTTGAGCTAGTAAAACATATATTTGATGCCTGGGAGGATGCCCACGATTCTCTAGGTATCTTTTGCGATTTATCTAAGGCTTTTGATTGTGTTGTTCATGAAACGCTGATCAGGAAATTACAGCACTATGGTATCAAAAATAAAGCCCTGGAACTACTTGCCTCATATCTATGTAATAGGATTCAAAAAGTTGATATTAATGGTGAGCGGTCTCCAGGCTCTGTGATAGAAATGGGCGTTCCACAGGGTTCTATTCTCGGCCCTTTTTTGTTTTTAGTATATATTAACGACTTACCTCACTTTGTCAAGGACAATCTCGAGATTGTGTTGTTTGCAGATGATACATCACTATTATTTAGACTAAAACGGACACTTTCTGATTTCACATTTGTAAACAGCGCCATTTCGAAAGTGGTTCATTGGTTTGATGTCAACAATTTACTATTAAATGAACAAAAAACTAAGTGTATACGTTTCACTATGCCAAACGTCAAGCCAGTGAAAACTACTGTGATAATTAAGGATGTCGGGCTGGACCTTGTGGACACTACGACATTTTTAGGTATAACACTAGATGCTAAGCTACAGTGGGGCCCACATATTGATAAATTGTCGAGTAGACTCAGCTCAGCAGCATACGCAGTAAGGAAAATCCGAGAGTTGACTGATGTTGATACAGCACGACTTGTTTACTTCAGTTACTTTCATAGCATAATGTCGTACGGTATTCTGCTGTGGGGGAATGCTGCCGACATTCAAACTATTTTTGTGCTGCAAAAGAGAGCTATTCGAGCACTTTATAATTTAGGCAATCGTTGTTCATTGAGGCAGAAATTTAAAGAAATAAATATAATGACAGTGGCAAGTCAATATATTTATGAAAATGTAATATATGTTCACAAAAATAAAGATAGCTTTTTGAAAAAAAGTGATGTACATGCCATAAATACCAGATATAAAAATAAATTTGTTGTACCCGCCTCTAGGCTCCAAAAGATAAACAAGTCTTTTCGAGGTCAATGTGTCCGATTTTATAATAAAATCCCAAATAATATTCAGGAGTTGAGTATTAACAAATTTAAATCCGCAATAAAACGTGGCTTGTGCCAGAGGGCCTACTACTCGATTGTGGATTACATGGAGGACAAGAATGCTTGGGATTAAT